AACCCCCCCCCCCCCCCCCCCCCCCCCCCCACAAAAAAAAAGATTTTTTGGCTTTTTATTAGCTTAGATCATAGGGTTCCACATATCTAGTATGTACTGAGATCATTCTTGTTGAATTTGACCCTTTACCTTATAACATTATACTTTCTAAGCCATGCACTTGTGGGTACGCATTATTATTTAAGCTTAGACGTAGACCACATCAAATTGCTTTGGGGTGACTAAGACTAGTTTTATGATTATATACATTAATTTGTCCATATTTCTAGATTCAATACATAAAACTTCAAACTCTAATAGCGGAAAACAATTACTAAATTTTCTTCAAAAATTGTGCAATATAATGATGTGCAAAGTTATACAGTAGTACACCCAATTGTAAATGGTGGAAATCGACATAAGAGTGTACAAATTTAGGAAGCTATAAAGTTGTCTATCATAAATAATGGACAAATTGTGTAATACGGAAGCTATAAATTTAGGGGTGAGTTGGTGTTTTAATACATTTCTCAAACATAATATGGAAAGTAGTACAAATACTATTTGAAATTAGACAAACAATCCGTTTCTACTGTTTGTGTAATAGAGATGGTAAGAGATAGAATTAAAAGTGAGGTAGTGTTTAACTCTGTTAAACTACAGAAAAGGATAGGGTTTTGGTTTTGTTTTGAGGAAAAACATGTTGTCTCTCTCGCTCTTCTCTTTCTCACTTTCTATTGGAATCTTATTTATTTTTATTTTTATTATTATTAATTTTCCCTTCAAAGTACTAATTGATGTATTTATCACTATAACTTTTTTTTTCTACTTATAGTTTTAAAACATCTATTAATTTTTTCTATCATTTAACATACATTTTGCTTAGTAAATTCAATTATTAATATATTCTTCCATACTTACATTTTTAATACATAAATTTATGTAAATATATTTTTCTTTACAATGGTCGATATCTGTACAGTCATATTTATATAGTTGTATATGTACCGTCGTATATGTATAGTTGTATGTACACACATTCTTATGTACAAATAGTTCATACAAATCAACCTTGCTATCAACACTGTATCTAAGTGTCTCTTGTACCCTAAAAATGATAAAATCCAATTTCAACCTACCACATCCCTAGAAACAAAACATTCACAATTTCGCCTTTTGAATCAAACAAAGTAAGTTGTAGATAGGGGCTTCATAAGGAAAATGTACACTTTCAAATAATCTGCCCAGATTTGAAGCTTCAACTTTTGATATACCTCCAGAGAATACACCCTCAATGAACATATGAAAATAAGATGGTTATGTACATATAGAAAAAAAAAATGTACATATATGTATATCGTACATATACTGTATACAATAGGATATATATATACATATAATAAACTGTTCAAATATTAAAAAATGTATAGATATTTGTACAATATGATTCATGTACAGATCTATACAATAGATTATATGTACATATAAAGATATATTATCGAATAAATCATCAAATAAAATGCATATCAAACATAGATTTTTATATACCTAACAAATTTTACAGAAAAAAATTCTATAAACTAGTATATTAGTTATTAAATTGAAGAGGTAAACATAATAAATAATGGGTTAATTGTTGAATGGCAGAATTTTTAAATAAACAGATTTCTAAATGGTAAAATGGGATACCAAAAAAAGGAAATAGTAAGAAGTGTCTATTTTACAAATTGTGAATAGAAAATATACTAAATTCGTAATTTTATTTTAAAAATATACTATAATGCCAAATATTCCTAAATTTAAAGTGTTTCATGGGAACACATAGAGAAACACATGACATGTCCTGCTGGATCTGGATGTCCTACGTTTTGATATCCATTTTGCTCTTCGTTTCATGCGCTTCTCTGTGTTCAAAATAATATGTGTATATAAGGCCATTTTTAACGCCACATCCGGACGGGCCTTAGGGCAATTTTAAAAGCCAGAAAATTCGAAATAGTTAGATGGCAAGGTCCATCCGGTTGTTGGGTAAGAAGTTTTTGGAGTGGTGTCTTATGCCATGTGGCTCTTGCTGATAGGGTAAAATAATTTGTAAACAAAACGATTTATTTTTTTCTATTGTCAAACATAAGAAAATCCCCAATTCAATTTCTCTATCGAACCCTAGTATTACGATTTCGACGATTGAGTGAACGATCTCGTCTTCTTCTCCGTCTCGTCTTACCGTGTTGTCCGTGTCGTCTCACCGTCTTCTCTGTCCCCTCCATCTTGTCCTCACCGTCTTCTGGATCTCGTCCAAATCCTCATCAGCGTCTCGTCCCTGCTCTGTCTGCATCCCCAAATCGATTCTAGTCAGGTACATGCAACTCTCTTTTCTTTCTTCTTCTTCTTTTGTCAAGTTCCTTCTTTGGCTTAATTTATCGACCTCTGTAAAGTTTTGTCTTGTTGATTCACAATAAAATTGCCTTGGATATTTAGATCTGTTGAGTTCGTTATTTTATGGGTTTTATCCTTTGATTTTTTGTTTAAACTCGAGTCAAAACTTCATCTGTGTTCTTCTGATATTTAGTTCTACGGTTTAATTTGTAGGCATCGAATAACAATAATTTGTCAGTTGTACAAGTTATCAGTTCTAGGGTTTAGATTTATTGGTTAAAAGTGTTTGATAACTTAAAAATTAGATCTCTCTCCTCCCCTTAACGAAGTTACTCTCCTACCCCTAAAGATTTTCTGCTTATGTAGTAACTTTTGTGGTTATATATTTGATTAACTATGTAAATCATATGTTACCGCTATACATTATAAGTTATTTGATAACCTCATAGTTATATAGTTAAATTATTTATAGTTATTCATATGTTACCGCTATAAATTATTAATTATTTGATAAATTCATAATTATCAAGTTAAATTATTTATTATACGACTAATATCAACTCACTTATATATTAACATGTTAATTTATTATGATATTTCATTTGTTATCGTTAACTTATGCATAAGAAGCATATAAATGATATATAATCTAAAATTTTATGGATACATATTTTGTTATGTGATAAAGTATTTGTTACCCGTATGGATAGCTTTGTCCAGTTTAAGTTGTCAAGATTTTAACATGTATAAATTCTTTTTTTTTTTTTTAAGTACACCAAATATAATTTCCCTGTATATAACCGTTTAAGTTGTCAAGAGAGAAAACATGTATAAATTCCTTTTTTTTTTTTTTTAAGTACACCAAATATAATTTCCCTGTATATAATAGATTTGATTTTCTCGAGTATTATATTTGGTTTTCTTAGATATCTTTTCCTATTTTCCTTTTGTAGTAAAAGTGTAAAAACCAAATAAATTGGTAAACCGAAATCTAACTAAACCGAAATTGAAAATTCCAATTTTAGTTTCTAAACCAAGATCTACTGCGTCAAAGCTCAAAACCTTAAAGCTTCCCTCTATAGTTCCACGAATCCATTTCAATAGAGATCGATCCTAAAACAATTCAAAACCACAATGTTCAACACCAGCACCAACACCAGCGTCTCGATCTCAGTATCAGACGAAGAGGCTAACGATTTGAATCGGATCCGAGCTCGAACCCGACGAAAGCGGAAGAAACTGAGTCATCGAACCAGCTACGAGCTACCTCGTTACGTTCTAAGGCTTTTCGTGAGGTATTGGGTGGTTTTGGTTTTTCTTCTTGCTGTTGGGTTGCTTGGGTATGAATCAACGAGGATTGGGATCAAATCTAGTGAGCTGAAGACTCCAGATTCGAGTGGGAAAGAGAGTCCAAGCAACAAAAATGAAGGGAATTTGAATAGGTTGGATCCGACTATGAAGGTTATAGGTGGTGTTAAGCAACGTAAGCTTGATGATTTCTATTGAAATGTGTAGTTTTGGAATCAAGGATTTTGAGCTGCTTATGTTTGAATAGGTTATGAATGTGTGAAAAGAGAGTTTCTTTGATTTGGTATTGATTGGTGGGAACTTGGGTATTGTTTGATTTCATGTGTTCTGTGTTGTGGCAAGATAAGTTGATAGTAGTGTGTATGGATTGTGGTAGGTTGTAGGAACAAGGCTCTGTACTTTGAGCTGCTTATGTTTGATTAGGCCATGAATTTGTAAAAAGAGAGTTTCTTTAATTTGCTATTGAGTGGTAGGAACTTGGGTATTGTTTGATTTTATGTGTTCTGTGTTGTGGAATGATAAGTTGATATTTGAAGTGTGCATGGGTTGTGGTATTTGAGCTTCTTATGTCTTAATAGGCCATGAATATGCAAAAAAGAGAGTTTCTTTGATTTGATATTGATTTGGTGGGAACTTGGGTATTGTTTGATTTCATGTGTTCTGTGTTGTGGCAAGATAAGTTGATAGTAGTGTGTATGGATTGTGGTAGGTTGTAGGAACAAGGCTCTGTACTTTGAGCTGCTTATGTTTGATTAGGCCATGAATTTGTAAAAAGAGAGTTTCTTTAATTTGCTATTGAGTGGTAGGAACTTGGGTATTGTTTGATTTTATGTGTTTTGTGCTTTGGAATGATAAGTTGATAGTTTGGAGTGTCTATGGGTTGTGGTAGGGTGTAGAAATAAGGATCTGGATTTTGAGCTACTTATGTCTGAATAGGTCTTGAATGTGGAAAAAGAGAGTTTCTTTAATTTGCTTTTGATTGGTGGAAACTTGGGTATTGTTCGATTGTATTGTTTTGTGTTGTGGAATGATAAGTTGATTGTGGTAGGTTGTAGGAACAAGGATCTGAATTTTGAACTGCTTATGTCTGAAATAGGCCATTAATGTGGAAACAGAGAGTTTCTTGAATGTGCTATTGATTGGTTAAAAATTGAGTTTTGTTATATTTTATTTGTGTTCTGGAATGATATTTTGGCTTCAGCAATTTGATAATGTGGATCTTATTTGTAAGTTGATTGTTGCGTCTATGGATTGTGTAAGGTTTTTTGAAGCTAGGGTCTTGATTTTGAATCTTGAGCTGCTTATGTCGGATTGCGGGATGATAGGTAGTTAACTGTCACTCAAGAGGCATAATTGTGGGAAAAGAGACTTTCTTGAATTTGCATTGATTGGTTAAAACTTAAAACTTGAGTATTGATAAATTATCTGTGTTCTGTAATGAATTTTGATCTATGTATTGTGCTAGGTTGTTTAAAGCTTCTGCCTCCGGAGGAGCTTGAACATCTTGATATATTGGAGCATAAAGATTCAGGCTCTCCGGTTAAGAGAGTTGTTTATCTAACCGATTCGGATGTGTCGATGGGAGAAAAGAAAGCTGTTCGTAGTAATGGGACACGGTTTAATTTATTCACGGGGAACCAGACTTTTGCTGAGAGAGAGAATAGTTATCAGGTCATGACTTGGTAACTCTACAAGGCTTAAGAACTTGAATTTCCTGTAATTCGAGGAAGCTTTTGATGAATGTCGATCTGAGTATTGGTTTTTTTTTTTTGCATCAGGTAAGGGAAACAGTTTCTGTGCATTGTGGATTTTTCAATGAAAATGGGGGATTTAGAATTTCGGACAAGGATAAGAAGTTTATGCAGACATGTGAAGTTGTAGTCTCGACATGTGCGTTTGGTGGTGGAGATAACCTATATCAGCCTATCGGAATGTCTAAGGCATCAAGTCAAAAGGTTGGTCACTCTGAATTTCTCATCTCCACTGCTGTTGAACTGTTTCACTTTCATATTAACTAAGCATTTTGACTGAGTCGTTAGTTTTGTTGAGATATACTTTGTCTGTTGCATTCAGTCCTCTGAATAAGTTTGTGGATGCAGGTTTGTTATGTCGCGTTTTGGGATGAGGTTACTCTCGCAACACAAGAATCAGAGGGTCATAAGATTGATGAGAATGAACACATTGGAAAGTGGCGTATTGTGATCGTAAAGGATCTGCCTTTTACAGACCAAAGGCTTAATGGGAAGATCCCAAAGGTATTGTTCATTTAGCTAAAGGATCTGCCTTTTACAAAACACTTGGTAGTGCATGTAGCTATATTATTCACTTGAGTTTAAACTGTTGCTGATTATGCGTTCATAGTACTCCATGAGTCCTTGTCTTTTCTTTTATATCATCAAAATCCTGCCTTTTTGTTTTCCTACTGATGGCTGGCGTTTGGTTAAGAATTTGTTTTCATTGAAACCAAACTTTAAACGTCTTCAATTTTCATTTTATGCCTCGTTATCTGGTATTTGCTTGATTTGAATTAGCTCTTGATGCTCTTTTCTCTTGCATCTTTTGATATTTTTTAAATCTATGGTTGGAAACACAATATTTGAGTTTCCCTTTTGCTCACATTTGAGTAAAATATAAGATATTTTCATGAGGACTTTAATGAATCTATATAGACTTTAATCTATATATGAATCTATATTTTCAGATGTTGGCCCATCGTCTTTTCCCGGATGCTAAGTACTCGATCTGGGTAGACTCAAAGTCCCAGTTTAGAAGGGATCCACTTGGTGTATTGGATGCTCTTCTTTGGCGAACAAACTCGGTGCTTGCAATATCAGAACATGGAGCTCGAAGCAGCGTATATGACGAGGCAAAAGCTGTTGTCAAGAAACACAAAGCTACACCTGAAGAAGTTGAAGTGCAAATAAATCAATACCGGCGTGACAATTTACCCGAAGATAAAAGATTCAACGGGAAAAAGGGTAAATTTCTTTTCCTCATCTGTATTGTACCAAAAAGGGTACTTTCTCACATTCTAACATTGAGGATGGAAGTAACCTTTGGTTGTTTTACTTCTCTCACAGCTTTATCTGAAGCCTCTGTGATTGTGAGAGAACACACTCCATTGACCAATCTATTCATGTGCCTCTGGTTCAACGAAGTTGTTCGCTTCACTTCTCGCGATCAATTGAGTTTCCCATACGTTCTTTGGCGATTAAAAGTTCTCAAGAACATCAACATGTTCCCTGTGTGTACACGTAAAGATCTCGTCAATAGCATAGGTCATGTGCGCAAGGCAAAACCATTAAGTTAGTCTACGAATGTACCTTAACTTTCCAATTCATTTGTTTATTTTAGAATCTTTATTGTATTTAGCGAGTGGACATGAAAACCAAACTGACATATTTAAGTCGAAACCGGACTAAACAACTCAACTGAGATTAAAAGATAGGAGTTTGAGGACAAAAGTAAGTTAGTGGTTTAGTTATGTTGTGTAAGTAGTAGTTATACCAAAATCACTAGTCTAACTTTATAACCAAAGAGGTTTGTTAGAAAAACAGTTTGAAACTCCTCTGTTCTCTCCTCTTAATCTCTGATCATGCTTACTAGAATCATCTTCCTCACCGCAGTCGCGACTTCTATTCTCGTCGTCCTTCTACTCGCTTTATTCTCACCCGTCCCTGATTACGACCCGCCTGGATCACTCTTCTCTTTCTCCCTCTATGTTCAGCAAAAACACATCCCATCATCCTCCTATTCCTCTCGTCGGTCCAGTCATCATATACCCCGACCACGCGGACAAGGAGGAGGAGGAGCATTGATTTTTCGACGAACGCTCACGGAAGGACCAGAAAACAACTCCCGTATAGTAGGCAAAGCCGAGGGATTCATAATCCCGCATGAAGACTTTGCTAACTCAGATTTTAACGTTATATACTTGACGTTGGAGACACCCGAGTACACAGGGAGTGTTAGCATTAGGAGCAGAGACATGGCACATAAACTGGAAGAGGTTATGGAGGTAGTAGGAGGGACAGGAGCTTTCGCGTTTGCTCGTGGAATCGCCATGTTTGCTGAGGTTGATGATCATGAGGAAGAAGCTGTAACCACTTACCGTGTTAAGCTTCTGCTTAGATTTCCACATACTTCTCACCTTGATCCACAATGATGGACGTTTTTCTATTACAATACATATATTTGTGTATAAATAAAGTTATTTAACAGATTCACTACATATGTTCGAAATAACTCTAAGCGATAATCAATTTTGGCTTCTTTTTGCCGTATAATTTAAGACCATCTCCAATTGTTTGCATTATTTTTTTCGCTGTAAAGTTTGCTCTAATAGTTATTTTTATTTTTTATTCTAAGAAGTTAATTCGAATCAATCCTGTTAAATAATTTATTTTATCTTCTATGAGCTCTATCATTGTCTTTTAATTTAAAAATTTAAATTCAACCCACTTATTTTATTTTTATTAAAAAAAAATATTTAAAATTTTTTAAAATTAACAAACTTTATCATTTTTGATGTCATTGTATTTTCTAATTTAATATGTGATTTTTAGATTTTAAATTAATTTAATAAATATGATTGTTAATATAAATTATGTTATGGTAAAATTTTATTATATATATAATTTTGGTTATGTATAAATGAAAGAATATTAAATTTAGGGAGCACTTTGTAAATAAAATAATATGTGTTCCAAAAATATAAAAAATGAATAATGTTGCTCCAAATTTGAAACAATACTATCCGTTCTCTATTTTGGGGGCTAATAAATAATTTAGGGGAAATTGATGAGGCATACGATTGAAGTAGGTGAAATATACGTTTTCCTACTTTGTGTACAAAAACCTTAAACATCACTTTTAAAAAATGAAACAAATGGAGTAATATTTAATTTTGATAATACTAAAAATTTAGACGGTTTAAATATAATATCACATTTTTAAAAAGCTATTGAAACGAATTTCGAATAGGATTTTGGATCTGGAAGAGTTTGAAATAGATGAAGACATAAAAACTTTTGTCCAAGCTATCACGTTCATCCAAATATAGTGAGTGTCTTCTGAAATTTAGAAGAGAGACATATTCGTCTAACATACAACAAAATGCACTAAGATACAAAACAATTCCTTGGGACGTTTAATTTTTGTTATATAATAATAACTCAAAATTGGTTATTGAGCCAAATTTCCTTATATAATATACATCTACTATTTAACACGTGCTTGTTTGTTCAAAATATTGATTTTAAAATTTCAAGATATAAAATAGAGTTGACGACAAAAAGAAAAATAAATAAATATATAAAATAGATTAATAAAACTCCAAAAACATATGGGTGTCGTACATGATGGGGAAAATGACTAGTCATTATTATTTATAACTTTTGGAATTCTTCAAATAATAATTACAGGTATATCTTTGTCTTTTTTTTTTTTTGGGTTCTCCTGCAAATTAAAATTAACAAATTTTAAAATTTCAATATATTTTCTTTTTTTGGCAAACAATCTCAACTTATTTAAGAGTAACCATTTTCAAATTTTTTTCAAATTTATTCCATTTGAAAAAATTTAGTAGATATAAATTCCAAATAGCATCATTATTCAGTTCCGATAGAGTCAGTGAATAACAACGCAGATGACATAATACACTAGCTTTTAGCTTATGTTTAGTTGTTCTGAAAACAGTTGAATCTCGTAGCAGACATTGGATCAGATTGTTGTTTGGCGAGACTTTGAGTCGGATTGTGTTCTAACGAGACTTTTCTTAACTAGATAATAAAACTTATGCTCTTATAATTATTTCAAAAATTACAAATATAATTTTCTTTCGTTTCTCGTTTACTCCATTAAATCTAGTCTCGATTTGTCACAACTTTCCATCATGATCTTTGTTACCAAAATCATCATTTTTATTTACCAGCGTAATATTCATCGCGGTGGTGTCTTCATCATAACATCTATTATATTTGGTTATGCGACATTTAACTCTAACCGAGTCAAGAAAAATAAATTAAAGTAACATAACCTTAGGCAACTCAAAATCTCTCAAGTACAAAAACAGAGCAACAAGCTCTCTTACACAAAAAAAATATATATATATATATATCGAGAATAGTAATTACAACTTTTTTGTTTTTTTGGTTCACCAAACTTTTTTCTTTCACCTAGTAAAAAACAACTTTTATAAATCAAAAATGAAGAAATACAAAAACAGAACAACAAGCTCTTAAAAAAGTACCAACTTTCAAAAAAAAAACTGGATTCAAAAACGTGTCTAAATGAGCCGGCCGGTGGTCAGAGAGAGACTCCAATAGATCTCCATCGTCTTTGTTTGGTCAGAAAAAAAAGGAATCTTCTCTCCACGCCACTTAATTCACTATTTCTTTATTTCCCATATTTTTCATTTCACATTTATTTATTTCCATTATAAATACTCATCTCTTATTTCTAAATCATTCAATTCATAATTTATTACCTTTCTTTATACAAAAAAATATCTTTCAAGAAAACCAAAACAAGAAACAAGTCGCCACTGTTTCTAATGGCTTCTTCTTCTTCACTTTCATCAACTCCTTTCCCAATCTCTCTTTACCCAAAGACCGTTCGTTCAAAGCCACTCAAGTTTCGAGTTCTCACCCGTCCGATCAAAGCTTCAGGATCAGATCTAGCCGTCGAGAATCGAACCGGATCTAAAGATCTCCCGATCCGTAGCATACCAGGAAGCTATGGTTTACCAATCGTTGGACCAATCAGTGACCGTTGGGATTACTTTTACAACCAAGGACCTGAAGAGTTCTTCAAATCACGTATCCGTAAATACGACTCTACCGTCTTCAGAGTCAACATGCCACCTGGAGCTTTTATCGCCGAGAATCCACGTGTCGTGGCTCTGCTCGACGGTAAAAGTTTCCCGGTTCTTTTCGACGTCGATAAAGTCGAAAAGAAAGACATTTTCACCGGTACTTACATGCCTTCAACAGAACTAACCGGCGGTTTCCGTATCCTCTCGTACCTCGATCCGTCCGAGCCGAAACACGCTAAGCTCAAGACATTGCTTTTCTTCCTCCTCAAGTCAGCTCGAAACCGGATTTTCCCCGAGTTTCGAGCTACTTACTCGGAACTATTCGACTCTTTAGAAAAAGAGCTTTCCCTTAAAGGAAAAGCCGAATTCGGCGGCTCCAGTGACGCAGCTGCCTTTAATTTTTTGGCCAAAGCTTTCTACGGGACGAATCCCGCAGATACTAAGCTTAAAGCCGACGCGCCGGGGCTCATTACCAAATGGGTTTTATTCAATCTTCATCCATTGCTCACTGCTGGCTTACCAAGAATCATAGAAGAGCCTCTCCTCCACACGTTTAGTTTACCACCGGCGTTAGTCAAATCTGATTACCAAAGACTCTACGACTTCTTCTTCGACTCGGCTGGTGAGATTCTCGTTGAAGCCGATAAATTGGGTATCTCACGAGAAGAAGCTACACACAACCTTCTCTTCGCCACGTGCTTTAACACGTGGGGTGGGATGAAGATACTATTCCCGAATATGGTTAAACGAATCGGGCGGGCGGGTCAAAAAGTCCATATCAGATTAGCGGAGGAGATAAGATCGGTAATTAAATCCAACGGTGGAGAACTCACGATGGGTTCGATTGAGAAGATGGAGTTAACCAAATCAGTGGTTTACGAATGTCTCCGGTTCGAACCACCGGTTCCGGCTCAATACGGTAAAGCGAAGAAAGATCTGGTTATCGAAAGCCACGACGCGGCGTTTAAAGTAAAAGCCGGTGAGGTTCTCTACGGTTATCAACCGTTGGCGACGAGAGATCCGAAGATTTTTGATAAGGCGGATGAGTTTGTGCCGGAGAGATTCGTCGGAGAAGAAGGAGAGAAGCTTTTGGGGAATGTGTTTTGGTCTAACGGAAGAGAGACGGAGACGCCGACGGTGGGGAATAAGCAATGCGCCGGTAAGGATTTTGTTGTTTTGGTGGCGAGGTTGTTCGTGATTGAGCTTTTCCGGCGATATGATTCGTTTGATATTGAAGTTGGTAAGTCGGCGTTAGGTAGCTCCGTTAATTTCTCGTCGTTAAAGAAAGCTAGCTTTTAGGAGCTTAAGGGTAAATTTGTAATTTTCATGATGTTCGCACGTGTGTAATCAATCAATTTTTTTTTTTTTGCTCGCTTGTGCCATGTATCTATTTTCTTGTTCTAGTTTCTTATGGAATTTGATAAAATGTTTTATATTTGTCACTACTACTGTTTTTATAATGTGATGTTTTTTTAAGAGGTTTGCTTGGATATTTTATAAACACAGTTTTATGTCTTTCAGTCATTGTTTTACTGCAAATCTGCAATGGAGTAGTTTCTGTTAGCGTGGGGTTTGGTAGGTACGGTCTCATACTTGTCATGTCTACAATGAATTAGGCCTAAACGTTCGGATATTCAGATAGGATTTGGATCGAATATTTTGGATTCGGGTTTTTCAAATTTAAAATTACAAAATCCATTCTAATGTTTTCAAATTTCAGGTTCGGATTAAATTCCGATCCAACTTTTCGGGTTAGGATTCAGATTATCTATAGTATTAAAAAATCTAAAATTTTGTGAAGGTATTATGCCTAGACTAGAATTTATACTCGTTTTGGTTTCCGTGTATCCGTAGTTAACTCTTACGTTTATAAGAGCACCTCCAACGCTAACAATGAAATAAAAGTCTATTAATTACTTTTACCTGATTATTTTTATAATATATCTATTATTTATTTAAATTTTAATTAAATTAAAAAGTAACCATTAACATATTGTTTAGCTACCGCCCCTTAATGTAGTTAGTTTTTTATAACCTGTATTTATACTATTCATTATTTTTATTATTTTTTTCTCTTAAAAATCAACATTAAAGGAGGTGGCCTATGGTTTGTTGTTTTCTTTATTTTTGTTTGTAGTTCTTTGGTTTTTTCTGCTACTTGTTATTTTTTTTTTGTAATCGTGTGTCATACACGAATATAGTATAGTATTAACTTAATATAGATACCAAAAAAAAATGGGAATGAGAAATTTTGGAGTTTTGTTTCTCTATCTCTCTAGTTAAGTGTGTCCTTGTATTTGTGTGGAGGCAATGGACTATAGATACTTATATTATTCCAATTACAAAGAAAGACACATATACTTTGGAGATAATTTGGATGGGGCCATATAGATTCTAATCAACACTTCAAGAGAGTCATCATAACAATGTTCCACTATCATTTATTCATTTTGTATATTTTATCTACCTTCCTCTAGGTTTTTGGATCTAAATGTTTACACCGGTTAACGCGGACAAATCCATTAGCGGATAGACCGCTTTTTATTTACCATTTATCAGATATATTTTGTAATATTGCGGTCCAAGAAATCAAAAGAAAGCTGTTGCAGATCAGCTCTAGACGGCTCTTACATACAAATAAAGTTGGCCTACAAAGGTTTGTTGTCCATCCTAAAAGTCGAATTAAACCGTTGACAGATTTGTTCATCTTGACCACCGTTAACATTCAAACCCTTTAATTATTAGTTGCTAACATGATCACCCTCTAAAATCTAGATTTATATCCATTGATTATCACCATTGGTCAAAATATAACAAATCTGGCCAAAATATTGTGGATCTAATGCAATACATACTTTGTAGTTACCTAAAGATCATCCAAATGGTTTTGGTTGGAGATTGTTTATATACACTATTAGTTTTAAAGATTTGAATGAAAATGTTATTCTAACCTTATTCTACCATCTCATGATTACTATTGCTCTACTCAATTTTAAAGTGAAGATTTCATGGACTAGTGGAAATAAAACTAATGTTTTGGTGTCACTTCACAGTCTTCACTAACATAATGAAGTGAGTAAGAAGATTATCATGAGCTTCACGTAGACTGTAGACAACCTTTTCATTCGTATGTCAAGGTAAAGCTTCGAATGCTCACCCCATTATGAAAATATTTTTACCTTAATGCAGATGATTTATACAGAAAAAAAAAAACAATCACTTATATTTTTTTCTTCTTCTTAATTTAGACATTTCATACTAAATTTTTTGAGATTTTCACCAATCAACCAAAAAAATCAAATATCTAACGCCGAGAGTATCTTATCTTATCTTTATTTATGATAAGAGACTATTGGACTTATTAAATATTATAGTTTTAAATATATTTTGGGTGTTTTTTTTCCAAAAAATAAATAATATTATATAAATTTGATCAAAAATTATTTTAGGAGGGGTCAGTTTCAAACATTTAACAAAAAAAATCAAAATATTTTTTTAAAACATGCATGGTTGTCAGTTATCATCTATTGATATGGTATGATATGGTTTATCATGTATAACAAAACTCGTCACTTCTTTTTAAATGGCTTTGTAAGATTTGTGAACAAATTATTATTTTCTCCAATGATCTTATGGATGGGTGATTCTTCATCTATTGGTAGGATACTTTATATTTATTTAAATGAAGCCTTAATTAAGAATAGGCATCGGCATAAAATCCGAATCCGAAAATCCGAACCGAACCGAACCGAAAAAATTGGATTAAAATCGAACCGATATTGGAAAAATAACCGATCAGTTATTAACTTTCATTATTTTTGGATATCGGATTAAACCCGATCCGAACCGATATCCAATAGATATCCATATATAACCGAACTTATAATATATACTTTAATATCTTTAGGATACATACAATATATACTTTAATATCTTTAGGATATATACGTTTGCCGCATATCGAATTAAAAATTATTTTTAATTGATTTAGGATATCACTGAATTTTGCTACTTTTTCATTAGGAATTTATGGTTTAGTTTAGTTTATTTAAAGCTTTTATGTATCGACACAGTTTTATGCTTCACTTTTATATATTGGTATGGTATTATGTTAGTTGGTTCTTTGAACTTGTCATTTGCCTCATTTCTATTTTTATATATACTTGGATAGTATGGATTATTTGAGTATAATTGGATTTAAAAATATCCGAATAAAACCGAATCCAATAAATTTTGGTAAAATTTAATTATCACAATTATATCCAAACCGAACCGAAATCCGAAATATCCAAACCGAAACCAAACCGAATTTTATAAATATCCAATGGATGTTTGAATCAATATCCAAAAAATCCGAAAACTGAAAAATCCGAACCGAACCCGATCCGATATCCAAACGCCCAGGCCTAATTAAGATGTTGTTGCAAAATTGAGAAGGAAGAACATAGGAAGAGAAGGAACAAGTCAAACAACAATGGACTACAATTAATTTTTAATGGGCTCAGTATATTGGGTTCTTAGTAGGCTTTGTTAACTCTAAATGTTTACCCGGTGGGTTAAATACAAATAAAATAGAGCTTAAGACACCAATTCGTACCTGTTCAAAGTGGTTGAGTCTCAGTTAATCATGACTCCCACAAGGGTTCGATCTACTTTGGTACCCAATTTGGCCTCATCCGAGCATCATGTCTCGATAAGGTTCTACTAGCCGGAGTAATGTCTATGTGCGCTTCTTCTTCCCGTAGTGGAAAGTTACATCTCCCAGTGAATCTGGTGCACCATCTCCCCCAAGGGTCGTACCCCTCGTGGATGTTTGTCTTCCACCAATGTGGTTAGACCCAAATGAACTATGAAGTAATCTAAATTACCTCTTTTATTTGCTTGTAACTATTATGCAAGCCGGCCGTGACAAGAAGAAAGTCCCATTGATCTAACCGGTTAATATTTCTTATATATATAATTTATGAAAGCTGAAACATTGACCTCGTCATTTACACTCCTACGTGCGTTGGTTGAGAAGGTCATCAACTTCGCCGATAACGACCCGTGTTGACTTAGGATTTTAATATATAACCCAACGAGGATAAAGCACTAATCAGACTTAGGAGTTCCATAAAACACCAAGAAAAAATGATGGAGTATTTTGGTTGGGATTATATGTTCGAAAGGTGGAAAGATTTGTGGTTAACTTCACTATACGTTGAGAATCTTGAAGAGAACATGAGTGATGAAGATCTCTACGATTTGTTTTCCGAGACGGCTTATGTGGTCCGTACTCATATCTGCAGGGATCCTTCGACCTATGTTTCTTGTGGCTATGGTTACGTTTTCTTTGCTAATAACAATGATGGTAACCAAACATTACACTCTTTTATTCGTTTCTGATTTTGCTTAAAAAAAACATCCTAAAGCTATGTTTTTGTTTCATGGTCCGGACGGTGACAGCTGAAAAAGCTCTATTGAAGCTAAACTTTGTTACTTTTAAGGGAAGGTCCATTAGAGTTATGTACTACGGCCAATATCTAAGTCTTAACGGAGTTGGTAATATATTTATCAAGGTACTAAACATTTGCTCTTGTTTTCTTTTGATTGATATAATCAAATCCTATTTGATACGATTCAAAATGTATCTCAGAATCTTGATAAATCTATCGATCACAAAGCACTTCATAATATATTTTCCGGGTATGGACTCATTGTTAGAAGCAAAGTAGCTTCTGATGCCTCTGGTCAATCTAAAGGTTTTGGCTTTGTTCAATACAACACTGAAGAATCAGCTCACAAGGCCATAGAACATATGAATGGAATGGTTCATAACGATACGAAGGTATCCGTTCGACCTTTTAGTCAAAGAGATTGTCAAAGCGTTAAAGAAATATTTGTCAATGTTGTTGTCAAAAAGATCCCCAAATGTATGACTGAAACAGAATTGAACACAATTTTTCAAAAGTTTGGACCGACGACGAGTTGTGTGATCAAGATAAATGACCAAGGAAAGTCGAAAAGGTTCGGCTATGTTAATTTTGTGAATCCAAAAGATGCAGCTAGATCTGTCAAGGCTTTGAATGGGAAGAAATTTGGTTACTACAAGAAGTGGTATGTTGCGAAATCGAAAGAGAAGTATGATATGGCATTAGTAATCAAGAGACGTTTGAAGAGTATCGCCGAAAGATCTCACGGTTCGAACAACTTGTGTGTCAAGAAGCTGGATATAACCATAAATGATGAAATCCTCAAGGATTTTTTTTCACCTTATGGAACTATACTACTATGCAAGGTTTGTATATATTTTACATAGAAAATAGTAAGTCATTTTGGATTTAAGATTTTGTAACTTTGGATTATTAATACGTTATTGTTTGTGGATAGGTTATGAGAGACTCAAGTGGAGTGAGTAAAGGATCAGGTTTTGTTACGTTTTCGAAACCTGAAGAAGCTTCTAAAGCTGTAAGTTTATCGATACACAGATGCATTCACGTAGAAAATGCAAAACATTACTTAAAAGTTGAAACGAATGGTTAATGTCTATTTCTTTCCTAAGTGTTTTAATATTGCGGGTTCAGATTGAGGCGATTAATAGAGAAATGAATATTACAAAACAAGTTTATGTGGATCTAGCCATAGCACTTACATATGCGAGCCCTGAACATCAGAGAACGGTAAGCAAACTGTTTGTGTAATGGTTAAAACATACTTTTGGTTAGTCTTTATGTTTTCTCAAAACTAGTGTTCGGTTTTAAAGTCTTTACGTTTTCGTAAATCCTTATCCATTCGAATACGACTACTGGTCTCAAAAGGATTATTGCAATTTTTCGCTTCCAAAAAAGTACGTAAAACTTCGGGACGAGGACAAGATATTAGATTGTGGGCTTCCAATTTAAAAGCAATTGACAATGAGTGAAGAGACCCATATCTTATATATATCATTTAAGATCCTACTCAACTTGCAATGTGATATATTGTTATTCTTAATACGCCCCCTCGAGATGATGACTCTTTTTGCCATAAATCTCGGTATGTTCGGGCATTGAATTGGTGAACCAACTATTGGGCCGGACTGAATGTGGATTGGGTTGAGTTTGTGCGGACCGGACTTTGATACCATATTAGATTGTGGGATTCCAACTTAAAACCAAATGGCTATGAGTGGAGATGCCCATATCTTATATATACCATTTAAGATCCTACTTAACTTACAATGGAATATTGTTATCCCTAATACAAGAAGTATTTTGCTTACTCGTCCCGAAATGCACAAGCCTACCTTTTACTATTTTGTCTCTTTTTAATGTTCATTTTATAACAAAATGTTTTGTACAGATGCTTCGTGAGAATCTGTACCACCGTGTTGAGCAACTGGAGCCTCATTCAGCTGCAAAGATCACTGGAATGATCCTCGAAATGGACCACGATGAAGTACATCACTTGTTGGAATCACATGACTCCCTCAAATCTAAAGCCAAGGAGGCTATGGACGTCCTGAGGACTGAGCAACAACTCCGGTGAACCACGCTGTCTCCGATTACAAACCCACGAAATATACCAAGTAACTCAAAACCTTCTCTAAGCCTAAATGTTAGATCGCAACCAAATACTCTCTACTCGCGTGTTAACAATTACCTAAGTCAATTTCTAACTTATAAAGTTATTCATCTCTAATCCTTTTGTAATCCAGAGCATAAACTGTAGCTAGAATTGGATTTTAGGTTTTATAACAACAAATTAAAATCAATTACAAAGGTTTGCTAGTGTAAGAAAATTACAATATATATATCTATATTAACATTTTTGAAGTATCTTTTGGGTTATACCCTTTTGTTTTATAATATTTGCATAATTAACCCCTTGCCAGTTGAGTAAATAATAAAACTTAAAGGTAGATTATGTAATTAAATCATAATGAAATTGCAAAACTAGAAATCTATATTTAATTACATTTAAAAAAATTTCCTAAAATCTCTCCCTAATAAATCAAATATTTCTCCAATATCTTTATATGATCTTATTTGTTTTCAAATTTATATTATTACATTAAACATATGTATAATAATTTGTTTTTTTGCATATGTTGCAATTTGAATGTTTGAAAACGAAAGTATATTACTCAAACGATACAAAAAAATGTATGTACTAAAGTATTATTGATCACTCTTTATTTAGTGATAAGAGAAAAATAATTTAGCGATTGATTCTTGTAACTCGAGTTAACAAATAACAAATACACAGGATTATGTTTGTGTTTTTATCAATGTGTGAAAGACAAAATTGTTTATATTTCATATAATACAAAATACTTTTTCATATGATACACAATACTTATAGTGGAATCAATAAAAAAAGATACCTTTATATACTTTCATACATAGTACTTTTTCATTTTTTCCCCTTCCAATTCTTTGAGTTATTTCTTAATAGAGCTTTTATTTTCCTTCAAACTCCAAATACTTTATGACACCTTTCCAAATTGATGTTTAAACCGGTTGGCATCTTCTTCCCTTAGCTTCTATCCATTTTTGCTTCTATTCTTATAAGTTGTCGTTATACCAAAAAGACGGTTGACATAAAAGTTATTTACGTACGAGATTCGTTTGTTACGGTAAGCAATTAAAATCTTGATACGAAAATAGAAACAATAATATATATTAAAGAATTCAAAAAATAATTTTAATGAAACCAATATATAATGTTTCTTTCCTAAAAAAGACTTGAACGCACCCTATTCACATCCAATGGAATGTTGAAAATTTTGAAGGATACTTGAGTTGTGAATGCAGGCTTTGTGATTCTATTTCCTTTTCTAAACCTCCAACTGAAATAATATTAAACTTGTTAACATTATACAAAAATAATTGAAAATTGAATTAATTACCAACTTGTTCCATTATCTTTTTGAGGATTGAGTTTATCGATAACTCTCGGCCGGATTGCTACACAGGTTTTTCCGGGGAAAAATATAAATTAGTAAATTTGTAATACATTCATTAACTCGAAATGCAAAGTAAAGAAACATGTATATAAAAATTAAGATAGAAAACATTTTTTTTACTTTTAAAATTTTAAAGAAATTAGCATAACTATATGTATTAAATGACATATATATTATGACTTAGAATTAGATAAAAGCAAAAAATTAAAATTAATTCACATAATTTATGAAAAATATTTCAATATTTAATTTCTAAGATAAAGCTAACTTTTTAAAAATCTAACTTATCACTAAAATTTTAGAAACTAAAACAAATTCATCACGGAATAACGTTTTAAATTTTTATACTTAGTAAATAGTAAATAATTTCAAAATAAATTGAGAAATTGATACCAATAACCTTTTTATGATACCCTCTTTTAAAAATACCCTCTTTTTTTACCATTTTCATTTTTGCCCTCTCTTAATTTTTAATGGCTATTTTACCCCTATTTGAAAGAATATTCTTTCACAAAGGAAGGAATATTCCTTCCAAAAATTTCCCTCCCAAAAATTTCCCGCCAAAAACTTTCCCGCCAAAATTTTCCCGCCAAAAAAGTTTCCGAGAAAAAAATTTCCCGCCACAAATTTTTCTGAGAAAATTTTCCCGCCAAAAAATTTCCGCAAAAATTTTCCCGCAAAAAAAATATTTTTTCAAAATTTTCCCGCCAAATTTTTT